CATTTTCTTCGCATATGATATAATTTGTCCTGTAAAATTAGACACTCAGAAGTTTCTCTCATAGAAAATATCGATGGTTTTGAAAAAAAAAACTCCAGTTAATTAATGAATTAGGATAGTAAGCAGATTTTGCTAGCAAATTAAACTCTAAAAGTTAAAAAATCTATTAATTCAAAACTTTATGAAATTTTCTCTGAACACCATAATGAGACTAAAAGAATTGTTGAAGAACGCAAAATGGAACATGTACTTCCAGAAAGTCTTAATAGAATGGCAAAAAGGTATGGTAGAAGCGGAATAGATTCAATACAATCTAGTTTATCAAGAAGCAATTTAGTTAGTTTTGTAACTTTCATCTTTCATTCGAGAACTTCATAATTTTCAGAAACTTTCGCTGATTAAATCTGTTGTTAAAGGAATGATGAACTTCCTACAATTCCTTAATATTCTGAAGTAATACCAATCATTATTACATTATTCCTACAGCGAAATATACAGCGATCACGATAATTTGTCCCATTTGGACAGTTAACGTCAGCTTGCTCAATTTTCGGAAGTACATGTTGGGTCGTTTGGCAAGCCAAATTCATATTTCCGATCCAGTGACTGTTCAAACATTGTACTGTCACCGTTTTTTGCGAATTTTCGAACATAAATCCGGCTTCGCATGTATACGTACATATTGTGCCGTGACATTGATGATGAAAAGACAAACAAAATAAGTTAACTATGATCAAGAAACTAATTAAAAATAATGAATAAAATGTCGGAAAAAAAAATTGAAATTATTGCATTTTAGTTATTGGCAATACTTGAAAGGATTAAGAACACAAAATAAAATCTAACCCATGATCTTGGGATATTTAATGGAGTACATGAACCAATACTTAATGACCTGCAATCTTTTGCAACACAAGAAGCACTCACCGGATCGAAGTACTTGTTTTCAACTGCAAGGAAACAACAATCTGTTTGCATCAAACAGTCGATGATAATTAAAGTTCCGAATATTGATGCCGTAAATTTAGAAATACTCTTCGTTCTTCGTCTCTCTTCTTTTGTCTGCCAGCGAAAAAGGACCAAAACTGATGAATGGACGAACAATCTCTTTCCGCCAAGAGATTCTCTACAAACTATTTATGTCTACCTGTACAATTTTGAAGAGCCAACAAGTTGAACATCTTGGATGATTGCAGAATGACTGCAGTGACAACAATTCGAGATGCATTTGACACATGAAGATGGATGGCTTCGACGTTTGACAGTCGGTCAACAAGTGTATACGGTATTGCAATCTCCAAAGGATTCTGAGCACACGACAGAATTCCTTGTTCTGAACAAAGTATCTATGCAAAATAAGAAAAAATTTATTAAGTGACATTTTTTTTAAACAAAGACTGGAAAATCCTGAAAGCTTAAAAGATAATGAATACTAATGGTTTAATCCTCTAACAATCCCAATCTGCGATATGCACCATTTATTTACTAATTAGAACTTCTCGAGATTTTGATTTAAACATGCGGTAAAAAGATACTGTAATGGTAATGCACCTTCCATACTTATCGTCGTTTTCTTGGCATATTGCAAATTGACTCCAATAATGGACAACACTGGCTTTGATTCAGTTGATAGAACAATCTCAAAGCCTATCAGAATGCTGATTGGAAAGATTTCACCTGTGAATGAAGCATGCAGTGAAATTTCACCCGCTTCTGCAAGCTGAGAACATGTAACCCAACCAGACGACCGCCCTGGAAACAGTGGGAAATAGTAAAAAGCAGGGAACATTCAAAGTACGTTGGATTACACTGATTTCAGTGTCGGTTAACCAGTGTGAACGAGTAGAGCAAGCTGATAACCTTTAGCATTTTGATCTTACTCATAACTAAGTGTTTCTGAATAGCTGATATAATATATCAATTTGTTTTCCTTCTAAATCGAAAACTGCGAACGCAATATTTAAAATATTGCTAAAAAATATAGCTAGTCATTACTATCCGATCGATGGAATCGTAAAGATTGGCAATTCTCATAGCAATCATCAACATTTCATAAAACTGATGAAAACTTTTTAAAATAAGTGAAGGAAACAATCCTTACTGTAGTTAAGGTAGCGCAGGAAAGGAACTGCAACGAGCAGTACTTCTGCAGTATAGTGGAATATGCATAGATCGATGCTGGATAGTACTGTGAATGAAGTGTTGAAGCAGTGATATTATTGCAATCTTTATTATAACCATCCCGTTCAAACGGCTCACATTCTCCGTCTCCTTAGTAAATATAACACACACTCGAGACACTGGAAGAACAACCAAAAAATGGTCAATCACTAGGATCAATCGAATTATCTGTCAATTTTCAATTAGAAAATCTTTTGAGTTCATGCTATTTCTGAACTATTATGGACAAAGCTATCAGTTCGACTTCCCTAGTTCATTTTAATAATGTGTCATATTTTTGCAAACCGATCAGATAATCATTTTCATTTCTGTGAGAACAAAGTAGTGGTAATGATTAAAATTTCTATCTGTTCCAATTTTATATGCAATCATGTTTTGTTGGATAAATTTTACCTTCTCCAGCAATTACATGACAACTATTTTACATTTTCTTATTTTTTCCTTAAATCTCCTAATTTTTTTTTTACTTCTAATCAATTAAATTTAAATTTGTAGACTACGAGATTTTTTTCCAAAAAAAAAAAGACGATACATTTGTTTTTCTTAACACAGTGAAATTTCTCCTCAGCGAGACAATTCTGCGTACAACCATCGCTATCATTTAAATTTCCATCGTCACATTGCTCATCCTTACTCCGCTTGCCATCTCCACACACATTCATGTCATAAGAGTAAATGGTACTTGCTGAATGCAACCCCTCAATTCCTGCACTTTCTACTGCTACTGAATAAGTGTAAGTGACACCTTCTTTAACTGTACTAAAATGAAAAAAAAAAAGAAACGTGAAAGGTAAACGTATAAGGCGATAAGCGTTATTTCTCAATTAATAGAGATTCAATTAATAGAATTTCAGCAGAGAATTACAACTAAATGCAGGCAATTACAAATGAAAATAAACTCTTGTTTAAGATTAACGAATCAACGTTCATAGTCTAAATTCTCGAGATTCACCGATTCACATTAAAGTAGAAAATTTCCCTCTACTATGGTATAACAAATATCTGAGGATAAACTTCAGGTAGGCGAATTTCTTTGCTACTGTCTACCTAACCATAAATGATCTCGAAGTACCATCAAAATATTAATTATCTTCAGTGGAAACATTAGAGTAAAATACCTATCAATGATAGTCTGTCGTAACTCTGAAACCTTTCTGAAATGCCGGTGTGCGGTAGATACGATAATGATATGGCAAACAGTGCGAACATAAAAAATTTAAAGGAAATGAGACAAACTGTACTGCGTCAATGCTTACAAATGGGTTATTCGTCCTTATTTGGACCTGAAATCAAAATATTTGACAAATATGCTAATACCACCGACAGTTATTCAAATTTCAAACCAAACATTTGTGAAAGATTTGTTTCTCCAGTGTTAAATGTATTACTTACCTCTTTAACACTTTTCTGCGAACTTAATCGTAAGGTTAACGGTTGATCGCAATGTGCATAAAGCTAAACGAAAAAAAAGTAGTTGGCTAAGACAAGACAAAACTTGAAAAGTCCAAAAACAATCAATCAAAGCTATCATGCATACTTAGGAGGAACTGAAATAGCTGAGACTGTTGACAGAGTAAATAATCTATCTAGGATATTTTATGAAGAAAAAAAGGAATTTGATATGAAATGTTTTTTCGATTGAAAATTTTTGGTTAATGAGAAATTTGAATATGATAAAATATGATAACATGCCCAGAAGTGTGAACTGATAAATGCTTAGTATACGTGTTCAAACGTATCATAGATATCATCGGTGAAGGAGATTTTGACAAACCGTATGCCACTAGCTGCATTCCAAGCAAACCATAAAAGCTTTTCCAGTTGTGTTTCAACGTCTGGCTTTAATTTCAATGTGCATTTATCGGTTCCATCATCGCAATCTTGTACATCCGGAAGCCAAGCTTTCGTTGATGCGGTACAAACTTCAGCATCCGGCACTCCTTGGCATTTGTTTTCAGCTTTTTCATCATTTTACGCTATTATCAGTTTTATGAAAAGATCATTAATATTGCTCATCGTATCAGTCGACGTATTTGATCCAAAAATTAGTATTATTAACCTATATATTATGTGCATTCTGTATTTACTCAAAAAGTAAATGCAGTAAATTTTTTTGTGAGTGGAAAGGGACGGATTATTTCATTAATCCATCTTTTCACCAGCTTGAGGAGTTTAATAAATTTATAAAATTTGATTCCCAATTTTATAGAATTTGGTATTTACTGAAGAATGCAATGCATTTTTTACCTAAATAAAGGGAACAGATTACATAGCATTTTACTAGTTTTAGAATAATAAATCCCACAGCTTGAAAAACGTCGAATTAGATTGGATGAAGTCCCATCCATTTCTCTATTTCATTAATCGTTTCTCTGTCAATGGAAGTCGGATTAGACATGACAGGAAAAATGTCTTATGAGTGTATTTCAGCTTCATCTGTCCCTTACGTATTACACGTCAACAGAAATGTTGTATAAGACATAAACCTCACAACTCCTAACAATTTCATTCACCACACTGCGATGGACGGCCGAACCCCAAAATGTGTTCGTAACGAGAAAATGCAGTGGGGCCGCTAAATGTGATAAGTGTTGGGTTTCTTTCATTTGCTTGAAAAGAGGGACTGTCGAGCTTAACAAGTAAAACTGGTTAATGAATAAGCTCTCACTTAGCAGTTAAATAATGTTGTCGGACAAATAAAATTATATGTCCACTAAAACTCTTTGTTAAATAGGATTATCGTGTGATAAGATTGCTAGGTGAACAGGATTGGTTAGATAGAGTTTTCAGTAGAGTTCAAATTTGCACAGTTTTGCAGGATGGAAGAGTCAGCAGAAGCAATGTCGGGAAACTTGTCGCTGGATGATAAGATAAAACAAATGCTAGATAATATGACTGAATGGGAAAATTTAGGACAAAGTATTATCACAGGCAAGAGGACGATGGTAGAGTTGGATGAACGACGTCAGAAATGTCGCGAAGCATTGAGGCAATTGCATAAAGCAAAAAATAATGCAAATAAGGTTGTTTAACAGCATGAATTTCTATTTCTGTATAAGAAACTGATAACGTCCAGCTTTAGAACAAGAGTTGTCAGATAATGTGGACAAATGTTAATGAGAAATAGCTTAGCGATTTATGGCACAGAATAAGTTATGGTCGAATAAATGTTCTAAAAGTTTCAAATAAGTTTGATGATTTCAGCTCCTACTGAACTAAAGACACCATAACAAAAATTTTTAGCTAGAGCGGTTAGTCTCTCTCGGAAACGTTTCTGTTATTTTAATGAAATTACCTGACAGATATTTTACAAAAAAGTCATCGGTGCAACAAACAGCTTCCATCTCTTTTCTTTTGCAGAAAAGGAAGAATTGGGTTTGCTTCGGAAGTACTACATTTCTCAAGGTTACAACCGACCAAACAAAGCAAATGATTGAAGATGACATGAAGGTTATTGGTGCGACTCTCAACGAAGCTCGAGAAAGTACCAAAAACCAAGTGGATAAGTTGAAGAAAATGGAAAACTGCAAGAGTCTTGTAGATCTTGGTTTCAGTTTGGATCGAATTGATTAAACTGTCGTGATGCAGACCAGGCAGGTCTTTTGTTACTCAATTTTGCGTACAGGAAAGGAGCGGGAATGTACTGAGAGTGAAGAAAAGTGCAACTTAAGGGAGTTATCAGTGTTCTAATATTTTCTCATAGTTTCTGAAAGAAAATGTTTGATTTAACGAGAACGCTACAAAAACCTTAGTAAAATGGAAACAAAACAGTCTTATCAATGTGAGGAATTTAGATTGAAAAGTGATCAAATCTGATTAAAAAATGAAGCGTTACTGGTAGCTTGTTCTGGACCCCCCCCCCCCCCAAAACCTGACATTTGGAATGGTTCAAATGAACTAGCTGAGATAGCATATTGTATGACACGTCTGTCTGTGGTGCAATGCGTTTCTTGCACACCTTTTTGTCGTGGACCGCAATTCATGCTGCTTAATGGTGATGCCCACATCTAAAGAAATCATCAAAACAATCACTTTAATTTAAATGTTTCCGTCACAAAGTATTACTTTCAACTGTCAAAATTAACATTAAGTTCATTTATTTTGTATAGCTGGTCTTCGTTGGTGTTTTCAGCCGATTTTTGAAAAGGTATTGATTAATTCGTATCCGTTGCTTTACTTGTTAGCTTATAAAATGACTTCTCCTTTACGTGACCAGATGAAACTAATTATAAAGCCACATTTGTTACTGGTTAATTTCAGTAATTTTTTAAGCGATGTAATCACTTACAGTCTTGATACTTTTAGAGATTCTTTTTGGCCATGGTATAATTCGTGGACCGATAACAATTAGGAGTCACTGGACGTACCATCCAATTTTTATATTTCAGATCGATGTAACAATGCATTCTTGTTTTTTGTTGCGCAGTGAATGTATTGGCACAACTGTCTTCTAAACAGAAGCTATATGGATATCCAAATAGATGAACCGAAAGTTTTTGAAATTATATGCAGTTGCATAGATGTATTGGTGATTATTGGTGGTTCATTTATATTTTTCAAATGATGTAAGTTACCACTCTAGTCATATACTGTTCTAGGTCCCTTGTACTCATGTAATTCCGGAAAGGTGTATTTTTAAATCGTTGAGTTGCATCACATGGATCAACTGTTTCTGGGTCAGCACACGCTGTATTTTTAACCGTTGGATTCGTATCGCTTAGCATATCACCTGAAAAATGTATTAAATAGGAAAGAAACGGTAGAGGTAATTTTGCATAAGATATTTCTCACAGGAATTTCTCTTAAGATTCTGCATCTTGCGAAGATGTGGTATGATCTTTTTGAACAACCAAGAAAGAAGAGTTAAAAAGAAGGCAAAAGTACTGCAGATAATGTATTTCGTTTAACGCAGTTGAGATTCTAGAACCGTTATCAATCTTTATTATCAAGAAATTACGGGACGGCCATTGCTATGTTCTATTTATAAAATTGTTGTAAAGGATTTTAATGTTGTTGATGTAGTGTGAATGTAATCTCTTATGGCTTGAACTTGAATAGTTAATTATAATAAACTATGCTAAGACTAGTTTATCCCTTATCTAAGAACTTTCTACACTTCTGTTACATGTAGGTATAAAATAAGAAATCAAGCTGCTATACTCTGGGGCTTATTCTTTCCGATTTGTTCCAGTCGAATTGCTGAGGAGAAACTGTGATGTTAGGACTTCACAGCCTGATCAAAGTAGGTTCGAAGCATGAAGTGAAGTCACTCGTTTCATTTTGTACAGCAGCGTATTTTTCTATATCCTTAATGTATTAATAACTGGATAGGTTTTTCTATCCTCATTCTTGAAAATATTTTGATATTAGCTGTAGGCTATATTTTGACGCATTGTAAGCATTGGTCTCATATCTGATGTAATCATCTAACATTATAAGTTAATATTAATAAGCATCTGCATAAGTATTCGAACTAATCAACTTCCCATAATATTAGGAACTGGAAGGATGGATTCATGGAGCTTATTACTTGTTGTGCCCAGTCATCTAAACTTAAATTTAATGAACGCCTCGACAGCTTTGCTTTAATACTTTTATTCAGTAACTGCCCTGCGCACATAAGTTAATATCTTTAACCATGTCTTCCTTTTTGTCCTTGTATAAAGTCTTAGTCCTAGTACTTTTTTCTATATCAGTACTATGTTACTACAACTCGTCCCACTTTATTTCATTCCTTTCAAATAGTATAAAATCTGTGCATCACAATTGTAAATCAAAACGCAACACCTTCAAATTCTTTCAAGATACGTGTGCAACAAATCTGATGAAAGAAAGAGTTATTACCATTTACCATAGAAGGTATTTTTTCCCTACAGGGGTTACTGCATGGTACTTCACTGGTCCCATGATGAACATGCCAGAGACCGAGAATATGGCCAGTCTCATGAATTAAATTATTGATTTGTCCAGGTGTCCCGAAACGATCATAGCGAAGTAGTATTCCTTGACTGCTATAAATATCTTTTTCCCATGGAAATGTTGAAAAGCCCACTAGATCACTTACCATCCAATCACCAAACTGTACTGTCAATCCATTCTCGTTGTTTACTCCAACTGCTGCTTTGTATTCTTTGACATTGATATAACGTCTGGATTTATTTGTTTTCTGTCTTTGAAATTAAAATTCAGCATTTTAAAAAGCGAATGACACTTAAATTCCTCTCAGAGCAATGTAATTAAATTGGAATGAGAATGATTTTCATTATTGGTTATGGCCAGTGATTTAGTGTAAAACATTTCGTGGTACGCCTAATTCTTATTTCAAATCGAGTCATTCTGCATATAAATTTAGTGCAACCTTAAAACGGTTATAACATAAAGTTCATAGACAAACCTATAGATAGAAGCAGGATCAATGCAGAAGCGATTACCGCTAGAAGCAAAATCAGTGCAGCAGTCGCCTTGGTCCCAGTTGTTTTCACGATTGTTACATTCCAATTCACACTGTTCATTACCGAGCATCCGTTGTTCACATTTGGCCTGCAAATAGCTCAATTTATTGGTCTTCGAATTCTTTTTCTTTTTTACTTGCTAAAGGGAATTCAACTTTTCCCAATCAAATTATTCCACTGATGTAAGCGATTGATTAGTTTTTCTTTTAGCGAAAAAATTCCATTTATTTTCATTATCATCACTAATCAATACTACCCCGATATTTCAATACTAAGATTATGCTTCCCATTGATAAGAAATCTCTTAGCAATGGGAAGCTTAAAATCTCTTTGAATCGTAAATACTAACACCCAACCAATGATGCATACCAAGGTGTTTCCAATGACGGAAGTCTGAAAATTTCTCTTCAATGACATTTCCCTCCCATTGTTCTCGAATTAACTCTGAATGATTCATAAAGCGATCCGATATGCGCAGTTTCCCAATATAACCCCGAAATCCGACGATTTGGTCACGACGACTGCTGTCTGTCGCCAAATACAATTTTTTGCATGCACTCCGGATTTCCGAATAAAGAACACCAAACTGGGACAATATCTTGAGTATTTGAAAAATTTTTTAAATTACAATGATTTTTGTAAGCTAAGAGTTGAACTTAGGAAAACTGCATTAAAATCTTGAAAAATGGATAATTTTTATCTGCAAATTTGCGAGATGTTTTCCAACAAATTAAAAACAAAAAAATTAAGGACAAATTAAATTGCATCCTGTTGATAGAAAGAGATCATGCTATGAGATATAATTGGAATACAAAACGTTACCTCACGTACCAATTTATCAACACGTGCACCATCTACGTGAAGTAAAAGTTGATGCGAATCATATGCAATTGCTATTTGAATCCATTCATCGAGACGATAAGGTTTCTCATTTCTTAAATAATTAACTGCGAAAATTTTTGCAAGGTTTCTTTACATTCTGTTAAGTTTTCTCACTTTATTAGATCAGAAAAAATCAAATATTTTTTAAGTCAGAATTCTGCGAGAATTTCTCGAAGTCGAAGGGGAAAAATGATTTTACTTAGGTGACGCATGGACTGCTTCTTTCCCTGTCTTTTAGTTAAAATGATTGGTTCAGATGATAAAGTTAGTGGCTAGATAACCTGATCTGATATGATCTAGGTGCTAATTCTGGAGTCAATGATGTTGCTAAATGAGCTCCGTGTTCGCCATTGAACTCCGTTTCTATTGAAATCCTCCACGTTGTTGCATCCTCTCTTTTCCGCATATATCATTAAGTGCTTTAATTCAATTAACAAACTTGGCAGCATATCTTTAACACAAATTAGTAGACAGGTGTTTATGATATCAAATCAAGAAAATCTTATCATACTTGTTGTAAATTGTCTGACATTTTTTTTGAGTTCGTGTGTTCTCGTTATTGTTCAAATCGTGATAGTATAACTGAGTGCAGATATGACTAAGTATTGGCTTCTCAAAGGAGACATAAGATCTTTAACACAGCTATTTTAATTTGCCAAGTAAAAAGAAATGTTTGACATTGATACTTAAAATCAGAAAAAAGTTAATGAAACATAGAAAAAACACAAACCAATTATAGTTGCCGAATCTGGCTGGCCACCTTTTATTTGTGCCCATATTTCCAGCAAATGCGAAACGCATATTATTTGCAAAAGTTTGCCATACTGGTACTTAACCGTAATCCTGTTGACCCATTTAAATATAATGCATAATCCCTTGGCACTTCAGGTACTGTATAATAAAGAAGTCTAAAAAAAGAAGTATCTGCATGCAATGTTCAATTTTCCGAGATTCCAAAATAACTTCAAAAAGGAAAAACTGTTTGAATTTGGAAATCACTAAAGTTACGCTTGACTTTTCTAAGATTATCTTATCTGATAATCCAATGGATGACTTATCTTTAGTAACCCACTTATCAATCTCAAACCATTTCATATGGAATCAACTGTAATTCTGATCAGTTTAGCTTCATCCATTGTCTAACGCAAATACTCATATATATTGTCATATTTAGTATTATCGAATCGTTCCTTTAAAAGTAGAGGAAAAGAGTTAATTATAATTTTGTGATAAATTTCAAGAAGAAAAAAGGATAGATGATGAGGACTTTGAAGAGGTCAAATTCGATTCCTCATTGATGTTACCGCTAATTTTCATTGCCTCTTCCGAACAACAGAAGTTATACATGAGAGAATATAGCAATAGTAGCAACAGTAGTAATTGTCGTGCCATCATGTGGATTTTAGTTGAAAAACTTTACAGATTTATTAATGAACGACCTTTTTGTCATATACAAATCAAAATTTCAAAAAGCATCGAAGCAGTGGTTTATAACATTTGTTGAACCTGACTGAGAAGAAAGGGAAAGAATATTGTATTATATCGCGAAACAGCTGCTTAACTTGAAGATGCTATAACAGATAACAAGCTCTCGTCAAACTCTGTGACATCTTTCCTGGAACATTTTCCAAGAAAATTTGTTCCATCCAGAAAGTTCAATGACCAACAAGAAAAAGTAGCACTTATATCATCGATGAAATGTTTTTTTTTTTTTTCGCTAAAAATACGTTTATAAAAATTTTATGTTTAAGTTTTTTTCTAAATTTCTCAAAAAATATGGAAGCTTTTTTTCTTACCTTTTTGTATCATTGTGACAAATATAAGTACAAAAAGCTTTTTAATTCTTTTTAAATTCCACCTTAAATTAAAAGTAGAAATGTAGCGAGTGAAGATGAAAGATGTCTTAATCTAATGAAAGAAACTCATTCTAAAACTTTTCAATATTTTTGATAGCAATAGTCATTTTATTATGCTAAATCTGCCAAAAAGCTGTCAGTTTGAATTTTGAAGTATGAAATAACGCCCGGACACAGCGAATGGTACAGTGGGTCATTCAATGACTGGTCTTTCTGATAACTTCGATCTTTCTGATAAAATTTTCTTCAAAGTATCATTTTATTTTTCAAATATGCTTTGGTCCATAATTAAATAAAATGTTAGCAAAAGCAAAAAGGAATCTAATTTTAAGAGAAAATTAAATTTTCAATTCTCTACAGAATTTCACAAAAACATAAAAATTTTTCAGTAAAATCTTACGATAGTAGATGATTTGAAGTAGTTCCCACTAGAGTTGAAATAAGTTTTGGACCTGGCAGTAAGAATTTCAGTTTAAAATTTAAGCATTAATTTTATGTGATTTGTTCCAAAATGGTTGGGAATGTAAAATTGCATAATGGAATCAGTCCGATAATTCATTGAACTTTGTGCTATTGATGGGGAGGTGTGGGGATGAGAGGGTAGTACGTCTTTCGTTTTCGATAAGCATAGAAGGGGGCTTTGGATAATTCGTCCCGAGCTTGAATTTTAATTCTAAAGTTTCCAGCAAAATTTTGAGCTGTAGGGCTAGAAGTTAAAATGTTAAATCAATATTTTCATGCCTAATTTCACTTAAATTTCGAAATTTCAAGGAAAATTTTCTGATTCGAAATTGAGTACTTCTAAATTGCAGAGTTTTAATGCGGATGTGGTATGTATCACTTATCAATTTATCTTTGTTTGCTTTTGCGGTCGATTGTGCAACACCATTTTTGAATGCTTATTTGGATGAAAGAAGTCAGAAGTCATTACACGCAGTTCTGATCAGTGCTCTTGATAGCAACGTTTGGTTTTCCAAATGTTTTTAAACTTAAATCCAAGTTTTTGAAATCCGTACAATATCGTCAAATTCTTTTACTGCCTATTTTAGTTCATAAGCTCTTCGTTATAGTTCTGAAGACATAAACGATTTGGAAGATTTGTGTCTACCAGATAGTTGACCTCAGAAAGGGAACGATTTTATGAAGATGAGGTTAGGAATCTCGTAGTAATAGTTTGAGCAGGTTTGAGCTGTAACCATAATTTTATAGTTGTATTGGTTTAGCTATAATAGTTAAGATGGTATCAATTTTTGGGATAGTGTTTTATTTGCAGTAGCATATCTTCCAGTACAAATATATTTTCTTTGTTTCAGGAGTTATCTGCTATACATCGTGGTGCAGCTGGTTTGAAACTTGCGGATATCCCGATTGAAGCTAGCAAGAATAAAGTGATTTTAAAATGTTTTGACTTATCCATTTTTTCAAGTTTCCTATATTTTAAAAAGTAGATAAATCTACAAAAATATGACTTTCCTCTTCTGATATCACTACTGATACTGCTAACTATTTTATAGGCTCTCTGTAGTAGAGTTCAAAAAGTAAATGGTGAAGAATTGGGACAACTATATCATGCAGTTAGTGCTGCGGTTGCTCTGAAAGATTGTTCGCTATCCATACCAAATGCTAAGGGAACAATCGAAGCAGTGTTAAAACAAGATTCTCCAACTTCTCAGAACATATTTTTGGCACTTTCTATTGCGGATAAATTGAAATTGAAAGTGAACTATAAAGATTTTGCCGAAGCTTTAACTGCTGCACTGGTAAAGGATGATGGTGCTTCTAGGTTACTTTTAACTCCGATACCTCATCTGATATTGCCTTTTTGGTGCTGTCAGTTTAACGAATTACCTCTAGTTTTATTGAAATTGACTTGAACCTTTGAGATAGAGAGATTTTAACATTGATATTATCTGCCTTGCTTTGCTAACATTAATTGTTCTGTATCAGATTATGTTTTAGTCTTTCATATGGATTGAATGCGGCAGCTCTACTGGATAACACTAACGCCGGAAAGTTCTTCATACGAGTCGAGGATCTGGTGGGTCAGGCGGAAGAAGTGGATGGCAGATATCTTCATGTAAGTTTCATAAATTTTCTCATCGAAGTGTAGTGGGGAAGCGGATAGATGTGAACTAGATGAGGGAGGGAAACGGAAAATTACATTGGGAAGTTAATAAATTTCATAACATTAACCGTTGCAGTTGGAAGGTGGCTTATCAATCACTGCTTTTGGTGTTTATGGAATTTATAATCTAGCTGATAAACTAGACAAGTCACCAAGTGTAAAAAGCGTTAGTTTTCATTTAAACGTCAACAAAGGTCATCTGTTGTAATGGTCATCATTTGTCTCTGATTTCCATAAAGATGTTTCGAAATCACAAGTCAGCTTCAGCAGTGGTACTAAGAAAACCTTGTTTAGGACGAAGCAGTGAAATTAGTAAATTACTTGCTTAGTCGTAGGAATGTACAGTCGGATCGCGGTGCGTATTTCCTACTGCTGACATTGAAGAAGCTTGCGAATAACCATTTCCAAATTCCAGCTGTCTTTTCTTTGGCATCAAGCGCATTCTTATTGGATACGGACAAAGTGAGTTTATTTCGCAATCAATTTCTATTATTTTTTTGCTATTTTTTTCCGGAGTAGGAGTGCTACTATTGATGTGTTTTATCAAAACTACATTTGTTGAAAAAATCTTCAGTACCAAAGATACAGGGTAATTTTCCACACCAAAGGTCTTCAAACCTGTGACATATTTTTGTTATGCTGCACTGAAATTTTACAGTCATAATTTTTCTAGAAAATGAAAATAATTAAAGCATGAAGGTACTTAAAAAAAAGAGTTACTCAAATCCTTTATATATGACCTCGTTATTGAACTTTCACTAATTTCTTATCAAAATTGTCATTATTGGTAGTGAAAGTTCATTACAGCCTTTGGTAATTCGTGTTTCGAATGTGTTGGGCGAATCGGTTGGACCATTATCAGTCATTTTGGATACAGTGACACATTTAATTTCCAAAGAAATTGTAGCTGTACGACAACAGTTAAAAGCAGTTGTATCTGATAAAACCAACACGTTATATGAAGTATATGTTAAAAATGTCAAACAACGTGGATTTTATAATCTTGCCCTAAGCGCTGGAAGTCAGGTAATCCATCATACCGCACTACGTGAGATTTAAATCGAAGAATTTATTTTATAAGCGTATTTTATAATAAGCGTATGTAAGCGTATTTTGGAATATCTGAAAGACATGTGTTTTAAGTAATATTGTAGATGGAAGCATTTGATTATCCAGAAGGATTTAATATTGGTGCTTTTTTTTCAGAAAGTAGTTAAAGTATTTTTGTGTATTCTTTTCTCTTTTTTCCTATTGTTTTTTTATATATTATTTTGTTTTATTTAGGTGTATTCCATTCTAGGACAAACGTTTGGTTGGAACAAATGGTGTATCACTCATGATGAGAGTTCTTGTAAAAGTGCATATCGAAGATGTCACAGTGGCTGTGTTCGACCGGGAACTTCTGAAGCCGTCATCAGTCATCTC